CAAACTAAAAAGTTTTTGCAGAGCAAAGGAAATCATCAACAAAATAAAAATACATCCCACAAAATGGAAGAACATATTTGCTGATACATCTGATAAGGGGTTAATGTCCAAAATTTACAAAGTACTTTCAAAACTCAACACCCCCAAAACAGCCCAATTAAATAATGAGCAAAGAACCCGAACAGATACTTCTCCAAAGAGGACACACAGATGGCCAACAGACATGAAAAGATGCTCAACATCAGTAATCATGAGAAATGCACATAAAAACTACAATGAGATGCCATCTCACACCTGTCAGAATGGTTATCAGTAAAGCAACAAATAACAAGTGCATGGAGAAAGGGGAACCCTTTTGCATTGTTGTTTGGGATGTAGATTGGTGCAGCCACTGTGGAAAGAGGTATGAATATAACTAAAAAAATTAAAAATGAATCTGCCTGCCCTGGCTGGCGTAGCTCAGTGGATTGAGCGCGTGCTGGGAACCGAAGTGTCCCAGGTTCCATTCCCAGCCAGGGTACATTCCTGGGTTGCAGGCCATAACCCCCAACAACCGCACATTGATGTTTCTCTCTCTCTCTCTCTCTCTCTCTCTCTCTCTCTCTCTCTCTCTCTCTCTCTCTCTCTCTCTCTCTCTTTTCCCTCCCTAGAAATAAATAAATCAAATCTTAAAAAAAATGAATCTGCCTTTTGACCCAGTGATCTGACTTCTGGGAATATATCTGAAGGAACCCAAAACACTAATTTGAAAAAACATAAGCACCCCCATGTTCACTCCAGTGTTGTTTACAATCACCAAGATATGGAAGCAGCCCAAGGGTCCATCAGTAGATGAGTGGATAAAACTATGGGACATTTCTACAATGGAATACTACTCAGCCATAAAAAAAGAATAAAGTTTTACCCTTTGCAGCAGTAAGGATGGACCTGGAGAACATTATGCCAAGTGAAATAAGCTAGTCAGAGAAAGACAAATACCATATGATTTCACTCATATGTGGAATCAAATGAACAAACTGCACTAACCAGCAAAACAGAGACAGGCTCATAGATGGAGAGCAGATGACAGCCAGTTGGGGGAAAAGTTAGAGAGTGGAGGAATTGAGGAAAAAGGACTCATGGACATGGACAACAGTGTGGTGATTGCCAGGGGGAGGGAGGTATAAGGATATAAATGGTAATGGAAAAATATTGATTAAAGATTAAATTAAAAAAAAAAATCAAAGGAAGCCCTGGCTGGTGTGGCTCAGTTGGTGGGAGTATCATCCAGTAAAACCAAAGGTCATAGCCCTGGCTGGCATAGCTCAATGGATTGAGCGCAGGCTGCGGACCAAAGTGTCGCAGGTTCGATTCCCAGTCAGGGTACATGCTTGGGTTGCAGGCCATGACCCCCAGCAACCGCACATTGATGTTTCTCTCTCTCTTTCTCCCTCCCTTCTCTCTCTAAAAATAAATAAATAAAATATTTTAAAAAAAACAAAGGTCATGGGATCAGTTCCTGGTCAGGACACATACCTAGGTTGTGGGTTCTATCCGCTTTCGGGGTGCATACAAGAGGCAAGCAATCGATGTCTCTCTGTCACATTGATGTTTCTCTCCTTTCTTCCTCCTTCTACTGTCTCTAAAATCAGTAAGCATGTCCTCCTGTGAGATTAAAAAACAAAAGAGCCCTGGCCGGTGTGGCTCAATGGGTTGAGTGCTAGCCTGCGAACTAAAAAGTTGCTGGTTCAATTCCTAGTCAGGGGATATCCCTGGGTTGTAGGCCAGGTCCCTGGTTCAGGGTGTGTGAGAGGCAACCACCATTGATGTATCTCTCACACATCTGATACGTCACTGTTTCCCTCCCTCTCTTTCTCCCTCCCTTCCCCTCTCTCTAGAAATGAACAAATAAAATCTTGAGAAAAAAAAAAAGGAAGGAAGAAAAGAAAAGAAAGAGAAGGAAGGGAGGGAGGGAGGAAGGAAGGAAGAAATCAGGAGAAGTCTTGGCAGCAATGGAAGAATTAGGAAAGATCACCAAGAGCAAAGATGTATCATTAGAGACCATGGCTAAGATATCCATATCTTTGTATTCCCAAATACTGGGTACAGATTTGAAAGTTGGACAGTGATGAATGCTGATAGGAAAAACATTGATTCATTTGAAATATATGGTGTTTGAGGACAACTCTACAGATACCCCTGCACTGCCAGAAGTATAAAACAAGTGGGTCTATTGCAAATTAAGCTTGAATCATCTCTGGAGGCAAAAATGACAGAACTGAAAGTGCCCTACTGTGGGCACATTATGAGAAGGCAGAGTTTTTTTGGAAAAGACAGTAATGCTGGGGAAAATAAAAGGCAGCAGGAAAGGAGAAAGGGCAAATGAGAAATGGATTGACTCCATAAAAGAAGCTGTATGTGTGACTGTACAGTAACTGAGCAGGGCTGTTGAAGACAAAACATTGTGAAAATCACTCATTCAGAGGTCACCAGGAGTTGAAGCTAATTCAATAGCATGTAACACACACAAAACAGATTTAATAGTTTCCTAATAAAATTCTTGTGAAAGTTAAAGGATATAATGTATATTAACTACTTTGTGAAATGCTTCCTAATTGTAAGTACTCAAAGAAAGGTACCTTTATTGATATCAGGTCACATATACACCTTTGTAGACAAGATAGAAAAATTTGGGCTGTGTTATTTTGGGTTGTATCCTGTACTGAAAGAGTTCGTTTAAAAATTTCTAGTGGAAGGTCTCTAGTAATATTCCTTAGGACTTTTCTCTTGACCTTCCAATGTTGACAAAAAAAAGTCAACATGTTTGTCCTTAGATTAAAAATACTGAAGACATAGTTACTATGTTCATAAATATTAGATAAAGGTTGGTTAATAGATTGGGATTTCAATTAAATCTCAACAGTCTAAAAAAAATGGACTGTAGCCAGAAAGATAAAATTTAATAGAGATCAATCTAAAGTCCTGCATTTAATTGATTGAGTTAATTACTTGAAAAAGTAGGATGGAATTTACCTAAAGTTTTCTGCAAAAAGTTCAAATGAAAAACATAGGGATGAGTAAGTAGAGCATGAGGTCACTGAAACTATTTTGTATGATATTGTAATAGTGGATATGTGTCATTTTACACTTGTCAATCCATAGGCTATACAAAATAAAGAGTGAACCCTGACTTTAAAACTATGAACTTTAGTTAATAACATTATCAATATTGGGTATCAATTGTAACAAATGTGCTACCAGTGGTAGCACACATAAAATAATTACTAAAATTCTGTGGCACACCAAAAGATATATTAAATTTTTTGCCAGTCTGACAAAATATAGGTATAATTTTGATTCATTCACACTGGGCAGTTCTTGTTGTGTTGGCTGTTGTCATTTTATTTTTATTTGACAACGTAAGAGAAAAGAAGTCTGTGCCCCTGACTAAATAGTCAGGTGTTGCATGTTTTAAGAATTCTTGTGGCACACCAGTTGAAAATTACTGTACTACACCCATGTTAATAGTAGAGAAAATTATGTGACTGTGTGTGGAGGGTGAGTAGGCTATATGTGGATGCTGCATTTTCTCATTTTTTCTGTAAGCCTAAAACTGCCCTAAAAAATAAAGCCTATTAATTTTTTAAGAGTTTATCTATAGCTAGCTAGCTAGATATCACACTGAAATAGGGCTGCTACAAAGCTAATGTAATTTTTGGCTAAAGAAGGTAATATTGTTACCCTAGTTCCTGAGTATTTCCAAAGGTAACTAATATAAATGGTTTGGAAGCCATGTCGTGAGAAAGGGGGAGAAAAATGTAGTAGAGGCAGCATGATGGAGGACTTTTGATGTTTAAGGACCCTTAGTGAAATGAGGAACAGATTCATTGCAGATATTGTAAGCAAGGACAATTGGTGAATGTTATAGACCAGATCATCAAGTTTCTACTCATAGGAAGAGAATAACATTAAACCTTTTAACATTAGATAAAATGAAATAACTCAGTCATTGAAAGTAATCAAGCAGTTGCTGGACACTTGAAAAATATCCTTGTTGGGACAGTAGTTTAATTTGATCACCTCTTGAGTTTCCTTATGACTCATAAGATTATATAATCCCGTGACCTTTGCCACTGAGTTCAACAACGTCTGAAAAAAATACAGCAATTTGTGTCATTATCAAACAGGAGCATTAGGATTTTTGCTGTGATGGGAAGAAGTTAATGCTGCTTTGTTTTCTGAGATATGTCAGGGCTTTGCATAGATAATCTAGAGAGAAGTTGTATGTGTGAATACATCCATATGCAAACACAGGTATGTATATAATGCCTACCTACTTGTATCAATATGTGTACATATATAGATACATATGTAATACACAAACATGCATATTATACTATAGGGCTAATTTCTTCCACATGTACATTTTTACTTTTAGTGTAGAATACTTACTTTAAAATGGTTTTTACTATATTTTTTCTTATAGGAATTATTACCATTTTTTCCATTACCTTTTCATAACTAGTATAGAAAGAGTGCTGACCTTTGCTTTGACTTCCTGACACAGTGCTTTATCTCACTACCATCTTACCTGCTTCCCTGAAGAACAGGAAATTACTAGAAGGATACCAATCATTTTAACCCAATATCGGGTTAACTTTTTTACATAATGGTTTTCATACTTATCAAATAATTCTATATTTATTCACAAAATTTTTCTTAGTGCCTGTTTTATCACCTAAACAAAGATTGATAAATTACATAGAAATAATTTTTGTTAGAAAATTTTGCATCTCAGTGTAATTTCTTCACTTTGCTTTTAATAAAATTTTATTAAACATAGATCATCATGTCTTGTGTTTTCTTAAAGTTGAAGATGGAAGGGCAATGGGATTGTTTATAAGAGGGATGAATTTGACATTTCTCTTCACCTGTATAGCAGTCTTCTGGTTTTATTTTTGTTTTTGAAATCTTCATTCATTTTTTTTCTATTGGGTTAATATTTATTTTCTTTTTGACAGGCAGTGATGGTTTCAGAAGATTTTAATATAGAAGCTCCCAACTATTTGTCTGAGGAATCCGAAGTTCTCATTTATACCAGACAGGATTCACAGTGCATTGATTGTTTCCAAGCTCTTTTGCCTGTGCACTACCGCTATCATCGGCCACATAGTAAAGATGGAGAAACCTTTATTGTAATCAATAACCCTGATTTACTCATGTATTGTGACCAAGGTGAGGGTTGCACATGTTTTCTGAGGGCTGAAAATAAAACTAAAAGTATGGTGGCAGGTCTGAAGTCAAGGGATAACAAAACGTGTTTCTTTTTTCTTTTTAACTTTTTTATTATAAAATAAAGCACAATATAAAAAACTTCACAAATATATAGTTTAGTGTATTATTATAAGGCAAATATCCTTTGACTACTACCCAGGTCAAGAAATAGAACTTTGCCAGCCACCCCAGCAACAGTTCATGTATGCTGTCTCCATCATAGCCACGTCCTGTCTTTTAAGACTAAACCCACTATCCTCACATTTAATCACTTCCTTATACTTCTTTATACTTTTGTCACCCACATGGGCATTCTTAGACACTAATTTAGTCTTGCCCATTTAAAAAGTTTTCTCAGAGTTGGGATTTTGGTGACAGTATTCATGTAGTTCATCTGATCTCTTTATTTACTGGAAATTGGCAGCTGGCTCCAGAAGTGTGATCAGTTCAGGTTTACTTCTTTTGGCAAGACTGTGGGTGGTGCTATGTTCTTTTATGAGTAGATATATAATGTCTGGTGTGTTTCTTTTTTCAGACATGGTCCTCATTGCCTCTTGGCTGCTTTCCATGTATTTGTGCTGGCATTACAGGACTACAGCTATTGTTTTTTTGAGGGGGTACTTTATCACCTAGTTTTGCTATAAGCATAGTCCATGAGTTTTTCGTTCTGTGTGTAGTTCTGTATTTATGTGTAGATTTGAATAAATGAAAACAAACTATGCTTTCACCATTTTTGTTTTTCTTAGAATCAAGACTAAGAAATTCCTTTCAGATTTTGGTTCTTTGTGTTTCCAAATTGTGGCTGATTAGAATGTTTATATAAGTCACTAGTATGATTACTAAAGACTGACAGATAGGAAGTGTTTAATCCATACATTTGCTGCCATCATATGTTTCATAATGAGAAAATAAAAGTGTTCAACTGTGTGAGCTTTGTTCATCCAACCTAGCTTTCTGTTTCTATTAGTAGTACCTTAAAAAAAAAGTTTTTATTTTAGAGAGAATGGAAGGCTGAGAGAGAGAAAGAAACATCAATTTGTTGTTCTACTTATTTATGCATTTGTTGGCTGCTACTTGTATGGGCCCTGACCAGAGATCGAACCCACAACCACAGCTTATCAGGACAATGCTCTAACCAACTGAGCTACCTGGCCAGGGCTTAATTATACCTTTGACATATCCAAAGTAAAGTTTGAAAAGAATATGCCCTCTGAGAAAGAATCTGGGGTTCTGATATTGTTTTGTTTTTTAGTCTGAGTGCTTTGTATATGGATGTGTTTAATCTTGGAAATTTATTGAGTTGTATGCTTAGGTTCTGTGCACTGTTCTAAGTATGTTTTATCTGCTTCAAGAAATAGTTTAAATTAAAAAATTTGTAAAGTAGTCCCTAGTTTAATGAGATTTGTTAAGAAGTGATTTTATAATTTCTCACACATTCACTTAGAATAGGCTATTAAAATAAAACAGCATGTAATAGATGGATCCAAATCCTGTATGTTGCGTATTAAAATATTTGAATACTTATATACCAACATGACTGATTGGCCTCTGGACTAGCCTCTAGTCTAGATACAGGTTTTCTGATACGATCTTCTACCACTTTTCTCAGAGTTTCCAATTTTGAAATGCTGGTCTCAGTCAAAAGTGGCAGCTCCTTGTGCTTTGAAGAGTAAGGATATTTGCCAGTGGGACAATATGAAATATAGATCAGTAAGTTAATATTTTATGTTTTTAGATCATACTGCCTCATCTAAAATTCTTTCTGTAATGTTTCTGCCACATCTAAGGGATTAGAATTTTATGTTCTACCATAGAAAACTAGGGTTTTTTTTTGTTGTTGTTAATGTTGTTTCTTTGCTACTGATTGCAATAGTGGTTTCTCCTTTATAAAGAGTCATTGAATCATTTACTTTGAGGGCTGGTAATTATTCAGCATTAATCCCATGCCTCATTGGTCCAGATCTTAAGTGTAGCTGATAGGCTTTTTAAAGATGTGGAATGGCTAAAAAAAATAATAGTATGTCCATCTGGTTAAAACTTTAGTTTATTTAGAAATTTTTATTAATTTTTTGAACAGCAAAATAAAGTAGTTAACTTCATTGTGTTACACAGAACAAGTGAAAAAAGGAAAATAAAACTTAAAGTAGAATCATTCCTACTATGATTAATTTTTAGACAGTTGTATTACTATTATATATTTATTATTTTATTTTTATTCTTTTTCAGAGAGAGGAGAAGGGAGGGAGAAAGAGAGGGAGAGAAACATCGATTGGTTGCCTTCTGTACATTCCCCAACTAGGGACCAAACTGGAAACCCAGGCCTGTGCCATAACGAGTGACCCTTCTGTTTGTAGGATGGTACCCAGCCAACTGAACCACACTGGCTAGGGCACTGTTATATATTTAAACCTAGGCTGTTTGAGACCATTTTTATAGTTTTGACCTCCTAACTTGTTTTTAGTTATTAAATTAGGTAAGTATTAATAATTGATTAACACTGGTTTTGTCTAAGAAGTCTACAGTTTTCTCCTTTATTTCTTAAAATTATTTTAAAGTATTTTATTTATTTATTTTTAGATAGGGGAAAGGAAGAGAAAGAGGAGAGAAACAACAATGTGTGGTTGCTTTTCGTGCACCCCCCACTGGGGCCCTGGCCCACAACCTAGGCATGTGCCCTATTTGGGAATCCAACCAACAACCCTTTGGTGGATAGGCCTGTGCTTAATACACTGAGCCACACCAGCCAGGGCTCTTTTTACCTTCTTTAGTTAACATAGTCCACTTCTTTTCTCTCTTCAAAGTGGTTAAGTCTTTACAACACCTCCAGTCCCTCTCCTCCTCCTAGAAGTCAGGAGGTGGGACTGAGAGTTCCTACTCTGTTATCATATGGTTGGCTCCACAGGCAACCAGCTTTCATCCTTAGGTGCTTTTCGAAAGTGACTTCATCATCATAAAAGACACCATGGTCACTCTCAACACTTAGGAAATTCCAACAGTGTGGGGAGGTTTGAGCAAGGAAGGAGAATGAAAAACTAAATATGTATTTCTTATTATATAAATCACAGTATCACATGCTACTTGAATTTTTTCGAATTCCAAAATACATCTGGAGAATTGCATTAGATTTTCTTGTGTGAATAAAGAGTATGATTAGTGTTTATACATGATTTATTAATTTTAAAAATTGGTGATGTGCATTGCTGTAAAATAAGTAATTACCCTGTTAAAACATTTTTAATTCAATTCCATTTAAGACTGTGTAACTTCAAATAAAAGGTCATAATTAAGCAGTTTGATACTTTTAACCCTGACCTGTGTGGTTTGGTTGGGCATAGTCCTGCAAAGTGAAAGGTCGCCAGTTCAATCCCCAGTCAGGGCACATGCCTAGGTTGCAGGTTTGGTTCACATCCAAGAGGCAACTGATCAGTGTTTCTTTCTCACATTGATGTTTCTCTCCCTCTGTTTCTTCCCTCCCTTACCCTTTCTCTAAAAATAATTAAATAAAATCTTTTTTAAAAAGTAGTTTGATTTTTTAAATTTACTTTGTGTTACATTTCTTATTTATATATAGCAGAAAATAGGTGACCGTTACTAAGGTGATGATCTATACCAGGACTTGTTTGTTTAAGATGCCATTTTTTGAAAGATAATTTTCAAATAGTACTTTGTTACAGATTGTGTTGGTAACATAATCTTTTTTGTATGTGAAATTATAATCTAGGTATTTATAAAAAGAAGCCAAAAATAAATATATCCCCAAATTACCTAATTTTAATGTATTTAAAAACCCATTTTTAAACCATAAGATTTTCCAAAGTTTCTAATTGAACCCTTTATGTTCAAAACCAAATAGAAAATATAAATTAAGTTGAACATAGGAGCACTTTTTCATTGCTAGTCATTATTACAACTATTTGATATTGTGTTAATAGTAAAGGATACATTCAATTATATAATTTTTGAACAACAGACTTTTAAAAGCTATTTAGGGAGAGAAACAGCAAAACAAAATGAATGGATACTTTAGTTTTATTGTTTTAATATTTTTCCTTTAAGGCATCAACTTAGAATTCTATAATTTAATATGAAACATATTATATTGATTAAAGAGGTGACATTGGGATATAGCCTGCATTTTTTAAAAAAGAATATACTCAGTTCTATGTAAAAGGTACAAAAAGTCAAAACTAATGAGAATTTAAGAATTATTGTGGGAGATGAATCTGATTTTATTATACTAAATGAAATGTTCAATCCAAAAGAATCAATCAATAATGTTACATATAGTGTAGCATTGGCTGAAAGATATTTTTTTAAAAACTTAAAAACAAAGAAATAGTGATCTCACTTATAGCATGCATTTTAAATGTCTCTAACTTCTCTCTCCATCTCTCTTTATAGGTATATGAAAATGTGACTTTACAGGTCCCAGTGGGACTGACTACACATACCTTTTTAGTATGTTCTGCGACTCTGCTTGTTACCATCCTTTGTTCTACTTTGATCCTTGTGGCTGTCTTCAAATATGGCCATTTTCCCCTATAAGTTTTAGGCAATTAAATGCTTCCCATAAACTTAAGTAAAACCTAATTATTTGTGACTAGAAATGTTCTTCTGGAATTGTCATTACTTTTGTCTTTTGTCTTCATTTTTGGACAAAATTATATTTACTAGTAGAAATTTTATAGTATTCTCAACTAATTCCAAAATGTATTGTGCTCTGTGTTGATCTTTGATAATCTTCAAGCATCTAGTGCCAATAGAGGAAAGTTAATTCTGTTAAATTACTATTTATTTTGTGAGAAGTGACTTTATCTTCGTTTGAGTTACAAAAATGAGTACTTTATGTATTAGAGATAAATTACTCTCATTTTGTGAATAGGAACATTTCAATTTAAGATAAAAATTGAGAAAGTCATTATAAGTAGCATAAAATAATTTGGATGAATGATTTTATTTAAATGTTAATTTTATGAGACTATTGAAATCATCTAGAGTTTCAAAGAAAATTATTAAAATAGAATAGCTTAGAAAATATATCAAAATTGATTATTCCTCAGAATATTTCCATTCTCCTTTTATATTTTACATTGCTTTTGAATATAGGAATTGTCAAAGAGCTTGGTACTAAGATTTAGTTGTGATTTAGTGCTGAATTTGTCAGGAAGACAGGTCAGAAAGTACATTTACAAAAAATCTTTTGTATCTTCAAGTGACCTTCTTTTTTTAAAAAAGGTCTTGATTTAGAACCAAAGACATGTATTAATAAACACAAAAATCTAAAAAGTTTAAAATAGTGTAGTATATTGTTCTGTATATAAAATTTATTGATACAATCTTGGCATTCTGTACTTACATGTATTACTTTTCTACATTTTTAATACTCATATCAGCTTCTTCATTAAGTTTAATTGTGACAAATTTGTGCTGTTCTTAGTATTTACAGGACATTTGACTTTACTGTTTTATTCTTGTACATAAAAAAGTGCAATATAGAGATACTGGGTTAGCTAAAAAATTCATTTGTTTTTATCCATAAGATGGCTCTACTAGTGCTTAGTTATCTTTAACTTCATTCAAAACAGTTTTGTTACATTGTATTGTGATAGCTGTTGTATAAGTATACATTCTTAAAAAACATCAAAATTGGGGAATTTTTGTGTAGCCATTTTAATACTGAAAATGGAAGAAAATACGGAACATTTTTGGTATGTTATGTTTTATTGTTTCAAGCAAGGTAAAAATATAACTGAAACTCATAAAAAGGATTTGTGCAGTGTATGGAGAAGGTGCCGTAACTAATTGAACATGTTAAGAGTGGTCTGCCAAGTTTCGCGCTGAAGATTTCTCACTGCGTGGTGCTCCATGGTGTGTTAGACCTGTTGAAGTTGATAGCGATCAAATTGAGGTATTAATTGAGAACAATCAATGTTCTATAACACGAGATAGCTGACATATTCAAAATATCCAGATCAATGAAGTTATTGGTGAAAATGAAAAATATGTCTTTTACGGAAAAAACTAAATGGACTTTTTGGTCAACCCAGTATATACAGTCTTTGCTATGTTAGGTTTATGAATGGTTTTAAAAAATTCATCCTTTTGCCAAAGTGATAGAGTATGTAATTAGTAAATCATAAATCCTGTGGTGCATAATGGTGTGATTTGAAGCTTTTACCATGTTATATTTTCTTTTGAGATATTAATTTAGTAATTTTATGTTGGGGGAAATAAAGGTTTTTCATTTTATTTAACTAGAATTTCTGCCCTGCTGCAATTAAATAGTATGTACCACATCTGTATTAAAAATAATATTGCTGATATTTTTAAAACTGGTCTTAATTGTTTTTCTTTAGAAAAAAATTAGAAAATAAAATAAGTGGCATAAGCTAATTAAAAAATAAAAGGGCAAGCATGCCCTTCTATTTATTTAGGGCAAGCATGTTCCAAAACAGAGGCCAATGAACCAGGATATGTTGGCATTGTTTGTTTTAAATAGTGTAATAGGATGTGCTATATGTTTATATATATTATATATAAATTTTTATATAAATTTTTATAAATAACAGCTTAATTTTCTAAAACATTCTGGTGTTTTTATGGGAATAAATCTTTAATAATTTGACATGTATAACCTGACTAGTCGTAACATTTCTTTTTGGAGTCGTGTTTGAGAACTTAAATATTGAAAAAGGCAACCCAATGCCATAAAAACAGATATATTAGAAATCTTTAAAATGACTAAAATTTCAGCCTAGTCTAGTTTTATATTTGTTTAGTGTTTTCTTGTGAGAAAGAATTTCATGTTTTACAAGTATTCCTTTCACAATGGGATTAACAAAGTGGCATAGAAATGGACTATGTGTCCATTAAAATTCAATAACAGCAATAAACAACACTTTATAAAATGGTTAGACAGGTAGCGTTAACATGATACTGTTTAACCTCTTAAGAGTGTGTCTGTGTTGTGTATCTTTATTTTCTTTAGCACATCAGAACCAAATTTCATCAGTATTTAAACAAGTGTTCAAGGTAATATCTGAGATTATGTCTTAGTTCATGATTTAGACTTTCCATTTATACAGATACTCAAAAATATAAGAAATTGTGAAGGCAAGTGAAGAATACTTTGATATTACCATTCTTGCCTAATAGGTGGTTGCAGATAACATTACTTTTGAGACTTCCAGTCAAGATGGAGGCGTAGGTAGACATGCTTCACCTCCTTGCACAACTAGAAGAATCACAACTAACCTCAAAACACAAAACACCCAGAACTGCCAGAAAATCGAACTGTGTGGAAGTCTGACAACCAAGGATTCAAAGAAGCCACATTCATCTAGATGGGTAGAGGGGTGGAGATGGGGAACTGGGGCAGAGAGGACAGGGTTGGGCATGGAGAGGCAGTGGTGGTGGTGGCAAGACAGGTAGACCCACATTCATGTGTAGCAGATAAAAATTGGGAGGGACATCCTGGGGATTGAGTGATTCCAGCCCTAGGCCAGACCACGCAGCCCAGGGTTCCAGCACTAGGGAGATAAAGCCTTACAACTTCTGGTTGTAAAAATCAGTGGGCTCGGGGTGGCAGAAGAAACTTATGGTTTCTAAGGAGAGTCCATTTAAAGAACCTGCTTATTCCTAGAAGGTATGCAAACCTGCCCATTCTGGGAATCTTCAACAGGGCAGCAGCTAGAAGGGAGCCAGTCACGTACAGGAAGTGGGTGAAGTGACTGGAAATGGAGCAAGTGCCAGGAAAGCCTCCAAAGTCAGGCAGCAGCATCATCCCCTCTCCAACTCCATTCCCCTCACACAGCGCCACAAAGAAGTAAAGCAAATTGCCCCACCCTGGTGAATACCTAAGGCCCCAACCCTTACAACTTAACTGGCATGCTAAGATAGGAGGTCAAAGCAGCTCTCCCTAATACAGAGAAACAAACAGGGCGCTACCAAGGTGGGGAAACAAAGAAATATGGCCCAAATGAAAGAACAGAACAAAACCTCAGAAAAAGAACTAATTGAAACAGAGATAGCCAATTTAGCAGATGGAGAAGAGTTCAAACCACTGGTGATAAGGATGCTCAGAGAAATGTTTGAGTGCAGCAAAAACAAGGGAAGAAATGAAGGCTACATTAAGTGAAATAAAAATCTACAGGGAAGAAAGCTAGGATTCAAGTTAATTTGGAACATTAGGGAGAAATAAACATTCAACCAGAACAAGAATGAAGAAACACGAATTAAAAAGAAAGAAAAAGAATATAGAAGACGGACATCTCCAAAAGTGCCAACATCTGAATCAAGGATGTCAGAAGTGGAAGAGCAAGGAACTGAAAACTTATCTGAAAAAATAATGAAAGAACACTCCCCTAATTTGGCAAAAGAAATAGAAATACAAGTCCAGGAAGCACAGAGAGTCCCAAACAAGTTGGATCCAAAGAGGGCCACACCAAGACACATCATAATTAAAATGCCAAAGGTTAAAGAGTGAATATTGCCTTAGCTGGTGTGGCTCAGTGGATTGAGTGCTGGCCTTCAAACCTAAAGGTTGGTGGTTCAATTCCTAATCAGGGCACATGCCTGGCTGTGGGCCAGGTCCCCAGTTGGGGCCGTGTGAGAGGCAACCAATCGATACAGTTCTCACATATCAATGTATCTCTCCCTCTCCATACCTCCCCTTCTCTCTAGAAATAAATAAAATTTTATTTTAAAAATGAAGAGAATCTTAAAAGCAGCAAGAGAAAAGAGCATTACCTACAAAGGACTTCCCATAAGACTCTCAGCTGATTTCTCAAAAGAAACCTTGCAAGCAAGAAGGGACTGGCAAGAAGTATTTAAAGTGATGAAAAACAAGGAATTACAGTGAAGATTACTGTATCTAGCAAAGCTATCATTTAGAATGGAAGAGCAGATGAAGTGCTTCCCAGACAAGCTAAAGCTCATCTTTAGCTTGGTGAGGAGTTCATCATCAAGCCATTATTACCTGAAATGTTAAAAGGGACTTAAGAAAAAGAAAATAAAAAATATGAACATTAAAATGACAAACTCACAACTATCAACAACTGCATCTAAAAAACCAAAACAAATTACACATGCAACTAGAACAGGAACAGAATCAATGACATGGAGATCATTTGGAGAGTTATCAGTTGGGAGGGAGCAAGGGGTGAAGCGGGGGAAAGGTACAGAGAATAAGAAGCATAATTGGTACATACAAAATAGACAGGAGGAGTTTAAGAATAGTATAGGAAATGGAGAAGCCAAAGAACTTAACATATGCCTGACCCATGGACATGAACTAAGGAGGGAGGTCTTGCTAGAGAGAAGCAAGGGTACCGGGCAGAAGGAGCAAAGGGGGGAAATTGGGACAACTCTAATAGCATAATCAATAAAATACACTTGAAAAACATTACTTGATAACATTTCTGATTTTTAACTCCTTATATTATCACTTTTTACTATTTTAAAAGTGAATAAGCACTTTATTAAAATCAGTTTTGTATTTCTGTACATTGCCTTTTTGTTTTAAGGCCAAGAAAATGGGTACTGTTCTCTTGGTTTTTATGTTTCAGTATTTAATTTTTATCACTTAATTTTTTTTGTTTATTTATATTTAGAGAGAGAGGGTAAGGAAGGGAGAAGAAGAGAAACATTGATGTGAGAGAGATACATCACTTCATTGCCTCTCGCATGCTCCAACTGGGGACCTGGCCTACAACACAGGCATGTGCCATGACTGGGAATTGAACTGGTGACCCCTTGGTTCACAGGCTGGCACTCAATCCACTGAGCCACTAACATACTGTGTTATTATGTTCTTTTGGGTGAAAATAATAGATAGGATAACTCAATTAAAGGTGAGAGAGCAGAGGGGTGTGTGGGTGTGTGTGTGTGTTTCAGCCACTCTACCAGCAGCTTAGCTATTTCAGCCATTTCTTATGGAAATTGGTAAATACATGGCTTAGGAACTAGAAAGATGTATTGCAGCACTAATTATTTCAGAATATAATGAGTTTAATGGTTATTCTAGTCAGAAATTTTATTTTTTTTTCAAGATACTCATCTATATGTTGATAATTGATTCTGACTGATATGGAGTTAAAGACATTGGAGTGAAGTGACCAACACCTAAATCACAAAATATGCTATTGTCAGGTTATTGAATATGGAAGGGTTTGGTAGGCTGGGAGACAGTGAAATAATATGGACTAAGTATGCATTGTCATAATCAGTGATAAGATGGTAGGTTTAATTATTAACCTGATTTTTTGCATCTTGCACCTTACTTTTGGAATCAGTTTCCTTCTGAAGTATATGTTTTTTTGTTTTTTGTTTTAAAGGTAAGGGCTTTTTTTAAAAAATTAATTTTACTTAGTTTTAGAGAGGGAAGGGGGAGAGAGGGCAGAGAGAAACAGAAACATCAATGTGCGGTTGCTGGGGGCCATGGCTTGCAACCTAGGCATGTGCCCTGACTGGGAATCAAACCTGCAATGCTTGGTTCACAGCCTGCACTCAATCCATTGAGCTACACCAGCCAGGGCTGAGGTATATGTTTTTAAGGAGTTCCTTCAGTAGGTCTCTGTTGTTGGTGATGTATCTGTTTTTGTTTGATGATATCTTTATTTACCCTTCACTCATA